AAGTTTTTTTTTTTTTTTTAGGCAGAAGCAAGAGTGTATGTGTAAGGGAATCAAATAGAAATGCTGTATTATCAGTGCATACGATGGAATCTGTAGGGTCAGAAGAGAAGCATGGCTTTACTAGACAAAGGCTAGAAATACCAAACCCATCCCAGTAAGGTTCTGAATATTAAATAGATTCTGAATATTTCCTTCTGAAAAAATGGAAAGGGGAGAGGGAGGGAAAAAAGATAATGATACAGAGGGATGTCTCATATATTATTTACTAAGATAGAAGGGAAAGTCAAATTCAATAAAGTCAAGACTGACTTGTCAAACCAAGGCCAACATGGGGATTAATAAAATAAATACAGATTTCAGTGAAATTGTACCCTAGCACTTATTTTTAAAGCCATGCTTCAAAAAGGTTGCATTCATGAGAATTATAATTTTTATCAAATCACAGGAACAGACACTAGTAATGTCAAATGTTTATGTTCTTAGATTATCACTTAATACTTATGTTTTTAAGATTAGCCCCTGGGTCGCCTTGGTGGCTGAGTCAGTTAAGCCTCCAACTCTTGATTTCGGCTCATGCGGCATCAGGCTCCTCTCTGGGTGTGGAGCCTGCTTAAGATTCTCTCTCTCCCTCTCCCTCTGTCCCTCCCCCACCATCCCACTCATGTGCTCTCTCTCTCCCTCTTAAAAAAAAAAAAAAAAGACGATGGTCTTTGGATTTAACCAAACTGAAAAAAAAAAACATAAACCTTTAAGCTTTCGTGGGAATGGTAGGGCTCTAGGATTTGGAGCAAAGTGATCTTAAGAACCCTCACATGGCTTTTCTTACCTGCAGGTTGTTTCTCAGTGTCAAGTGAAAGCATCTGTCTTCCATTCCAGCAGACTTGTCTTCCCTGTTCTTATTTTACTTTTCTGTTTCATGAAGTAGAGACAGTATACAGTCATGACCCTCTTAAAATTGGAAAAGGCATTTCTCCAGCAATTTTCTTTTTACAATTTTGAGCTAAATTTTGCTTCTGTGTTCTCTGATCAGATATTTGCCTTTCTCTACATACAGGTTCTTTTCTCTACCCCACCTCTAACTTAACGGTGATCTCACCATCTAGGAGATGCTTTGTTTTGTTTTGGGTATTAGGTATTTTAGGATGACAGTTCTTCAAAACTGATTCCCAAAAAAAGCTCATAGGCTTATGATATCTTAGACCAATTATTAAGTGGAATTGAAGATTCTGCCTTTAGGTTTATAGTGATTTCATCTTATTCATTGAATGGGCTTATATTAGTGGTATATGCTTGGAAGTTGGCTTGTGAGCCTTGACCACATGTTTTAAGAAAGAAGGCAGGAGTTCAACTCTAAGATATGCAGTGTATCAGAGGTAGAAGAAGGTCTACATATGCCTCTTGTTTTAATTCTAACGAAAAATGGCCCGACTATATAGACTTCTAGCTCATTTTAGGGAAATGAGAAACCAATAAATAAATGTATGAATTGTTTAAAGTAGGTATGGAGTAGAACTTTAGATGTGAAGAGGAAAAAGGTGGGTCAGCAGCAGGATTGGCTATATAATTTGGTGGCTCAGTGCAAAATGAAATGTAGGGCTTTTTGTGCAAAAATTAAGAAGTTCAGGACAATGATGGAGCAGTCAACCAAACCTGGGGCACTTCTGAGCATGCGGTGCTGTGTGACTGTGCAGGTTACACCTATAAAGGCAGCCCTGGTCAGAAGTTGAGATGGGGGTGGGGCACCTGGCTGGCTCAGTCGGTGGAGCATGGGACTCTTGATCTCGGGGTTGTGTGTTCAAGCCCCACATTGGGGTAGAGCGTACTTAAAAAAAAAAAAATAGAAAAAAAGAAAAGAAGTTGAGATGGGAATAAAAAGGAAAAGGAATGATCTATTTTCCCAGGATGTTTCCCTCTCTGTATCTATCCCACTCTTCCCTGTATACTCATCAGATGTGACCGCCTCTCAAGTGGGCACTACTGGGCCAGTTGGCTAAGACACTGACACTTTAACTCTAATCCATGGGGGAGAGAGCAGGAGAGGGTGGTCTCATTCTACCAGTGATGGGGTCGGGGGTGTGGGGTTGAAGTTCTGCTGACCTGACATAGGAGAGAAAGCATAAACTTGGGACCTCTACTGCTTTCCAGCAGCATATTAAAGTTACTTAGCTGCCTCGCATCTAATTTGTCATAGCTGTAAAATGGTGAAGTCTACCTTACAGGATCATTGTATGGTGTAGAGATAATGTGGAAAATCTTAGCATGGTGGCTGGTATGCAATGAGAGCTCAATATATGTTGCATATATGGTTTTTGTGTGTGTGAGTGAGGAGAGGTACTGAGGATGGGTGAAAAGACCTCAAGTCTCAGATGGGGTGGCGGATCTCAAAATGCTTGAAGGGCGTCCTAGGAGCTGGCTATCTGTCTGCTTCCATCCTTAGTTCCCAAGGACCTTGTAATGGTTTACAACTCATTCAATTGCATCTTCTTCCCAAACAGGGCAAGGAACAATTTGTGGGAAGTCAGTACACACTAGAGTTCAGTCTCCGATAGTGAAAATTTGCCAACTCTCACCCACACTGTAGCGATGAGAAAGCAGCTGTGGGCAGCAGTGGAGTGAAAGCCATGGGGTCACCGGGATACATTACACTTACAGATGTTCCATTGTTTGCCCTGAGATTTTGTAGTTCGCCTGTTTTGTCCAGTTAGGTTTCCCTGATTGGCAGAGGATAGAGCCCAAACCCTTTTCTGTAGTTTTTCCACTTTGTTTTGATTTATTATTTGTTGTTTACAGTATTATCTCCAATAACAATGATGGAATTTCCTTCCCTACTAATCTGGCGGGTTTCCATTGTGCCTGTTTATTTTAATTTCCTTTTTTTGGACTGAAACCTCCACATGACTTTGCTTTGTTTATTTCCTTGCCTGTATGTGTCAGCATCATTTATTAACATATCCTCTCACATGAACTTTGTTCATTAATTATGAAGGTTTTGTTTCCTGCTTCCTAGTAGGATTGTATTCAGTGCTGCATGTGTGTAGGGACTGTGGCGTGGTTTTGGTTAGCAGTTTCCTCATCATGGCTCTCTGCAAGCAGATGGCTTTCTCTCCACGGTTTCCAGATGGAACGCGTGAGGCAGAGAAGGAAGTCTGCTGCCGAAGAGGCTTTTCTCAAATCCTCTGACCAACCAACGCTGCTCCGCTTATCAATACTCATTTCTGTTTACTTTTACTTGGGCAGTAGGTTATGTGAGCATAAGACCTGCTTTTTTGCAGATGTGCTCCATTCCTTGAAGACATTTCCATGAAAACTAGTCTGTTGTTAACTAATGAGCAATTAGCAGCTTGGGGATGCATGATGAACGTTAGACTTGGCTCTTTCTCATGAAGACCTTACAGCCCACTAAATAAATCAATAAAAAGGTGAAGGAGAAGAGGTAATTTGACTTTTACATCTGTTATTTGAATATATTGGATCTGCTGCCCCATTTTCACCGGATTCTCATGATTTACTGAATTAACTAATTCATCAAACATTTGTTTAGTACTTACTCTGTATATGATGCCATCTCTAGTGTCAAGATGCTTAAAAGACCAGAAGGTGAAAATAGAGTTGGAAGCAAATAAATATAATGAAGTGTTACAGGTGGCACAATAGACATCTTTCCAGAGTATCTAGGGGGAGTAACAAAGGAGGAGGGGGGCTTTATTCCCATGGAGTGGGGGGTAGGAGGTGATGTCACAAACAAAGCCTAAAGGTACTGGATGTATTTGAGATGCATATGTACCTTCAGAAGGCTGAAACAGTGGCTGAGGAGGCAGCAGGGTGTGGTGGAGGAAGGGAGGGCTGTGGTTGCCATTTTGAGGAGTTAGGATTTTATTCTCTAGGGAAAGTTTTAGGTAGGTGGGACATCATTATCAGATTTACTTTTTTTTAAAAAAAATTACCTTGAGAAGGATAGATTCAGGCGGACTTGAATGGAGGCAAGGAGATTCCTTAGGACAAGATGGTGCGGAGCAGGCACCATGTGATTTCAAACAAGCCAGGGGCGGATGGAAAGATGTCAAAGAAAGGGGCGCCTGGGTGGCTCAGTTGGTTAAGCGACTGCCTTCGGCTCAGGTCATGATCCTGGAGTCCCGGGATCGAGTCCCGCATCGGGCTCCCTGTTCGGCAGGGAGTCTGCTTCTCCCTCTCCCACTCCCCGTTTGTGTTCCCTCTCTTGCTGTGTCTTTCTCTGTCAAATAAATAAATAAATAAAATCTTTAAAAAAAAAAAAGATGTCAAGGAAGTAGACTTTATGGAATTGGTATCAATTCTAAAATATTGTCTTTACAGCAACTGCTGCTGAAACTAAGGCTCAGGAAAGTAACACACCTAATCAAATGTCTAAGGGACTATTTCTCTGTGTTTCCATTGCAGTTTGACAAAAATGATGATTGTGGCATTGAGCACACAATGCAGTAATATACCATATTGTGATTACTTGTTTATAACCCTTTCTGCCCGAGACATTACACTTCTTAAGGTTAAGAGCCAAACTACCAAATGATTTATGTATGCCTAGCATGGAGCCTCGAATAAACAAGTACCCAATAGGTGTTTGAAGAGGAAGACTCCTGATGCCAATACTTCTTCCACATGCAACACACGGCATGGAAATACGAAGAAACTTCACTCAGGCTTCTCTTACATCCACCCATTTCCATCTCGCCTCCTGAGGGGGCCAGTGACAAATAGGGATAATAGGCAGATGATGCTTCTTCCTTTGCTGTAAAATTTCTATCACCTCATCAGAATGCACCCCTGCCTCCAGAAGCCTGCATTAAAATAACAATAATGAATATTTAAAATATAAAAAGGAGCCATGAAAGTTGATGTCTGTTGTGACACCTTCCTCAGTGGTCTCATTATCCACAAATCAAGCATGAGAATTTGCTTTCATATCTTTTTTTTTTTTGGTAATTAATGTTTTAACCTGGATCACACTTTATTTTTCCTCACAGATCCGTAATGCCTCCTGTCTGGCTCTTTCAAGATGGAGGATAAACCTGTGGGAGAGCCGATGCAAGTGGTGTCCAAATTCAAACTTTCCAACAAGGTAGAGAGCACAGGACACTGGTTGGTGGAAGATCATGCTCGGATATGGGAAGTTTTAAAGACAGAGGAGGTAAGACAACTCTAAATGACTCAGTTGGTACAATGATGGATTTTCTTTGACTTGAGACTCTAGTTCTTAGTGTAGTGAGCACCACAGGCCAGCTTGGCAAATTTTTAATTCAGGGGCCAACCATGAATGGAGAACAGTAAGTTAGGAGTGTATTCCTTGGACATTAATAACTCCGCAGTGATTTAACCAAAAGAGGTGGCACTGACAGGTAGGGCTTAAAACATACAGGTAGACATTCTCCTTGTAGAATCCTGCCAATCCTAAATGGGAAACAAAATCATGGTGAGAAAGTTAATTCCTAAGGATCAATCATAACAAGTGGAATTATAGAGATTCATTGTTTGACAGCATGAGGCTCAGTGTATCATTAGGGCTCTTTGGTTGCAAGGAACAGAAATTGATTCTGACTAATTTAAGCAAAATGGGAAATTATTGGAGGATATTGGGAGGCTCACAGAATTGATGGGATGCTTTGAAAACTAGGCTTGGAAAGAAGACAGGAGCCAAATCAGTAAGAACTGCTCAGGGCACTACCCCTGGTATAAATTCCAATCTTTCCCCCACCCTCTCTTTATTCTCACAGGTATCTGCTCAAGATGCAAAGCCATGGGAGAGGGGGGCTCACTGCCAAGCTCAGTCACATGTCTTTTTCCTGGTTATTCTGTAAAGAGAAAAAGAATCTTCCATGAGAGATCATTATAGCAAGTCCTCACAGCACTTGTGTTTGGAGTCCAAATGTCTAATATCCACATGTTGTGACAATTCCAGTTCAAGAAAGTAACTTAACAAGTGCAGTCTTAAACATGAGAATACTGCCCAAGCAAATGTAAACCCTCTCTGTAGAGATACTTGCCCAACAGATTTTTTTTTTTTTTTAAAGGAATAAAATTCCACAGAGAGCAGTTGAAGTCTCTACATAACCCATCTAATAGGACCAAGACTCAGGTCAGATAAGTGAGGTGCCGAGGGCACAAAATTTAAGGAAGCATTCACTCTTAGGTTTATGTCCTGCATTTGCACGAACTTGAGAGTTAATGCATCCTTATATTTTGAAGTGCCTTGCTTGCCTCACCCTTGTGCTGGTTCTGCCACCCAATTTTATTCTTCTCCCTCTTTCCCCCAGGTTATCCCTTTCCTGAATTAGGCATTCACCATTCTTATGCATATTTCAATATATATGGTACATACCTGTTATCCACATATCCAATATATAGTATTGATTTACATCTTTTCAATTTTGTATAAGTTTTGTACTATATATCTACTTCTATAGCTTCCTTTTTTTTTTTTAACATTTGGTTTCTACCTTATCTGTTTTCTGTGGTTGATACATGTAGTTCTAGCTTATTCACATTTTACTGTTCTTTATATTCTGTTCATTGAATCAGATTTGTTTATCTGTTCTCTTACTAACTTTTAGTTTTTTTTCAGTACAAGGTAGTGTAGTACATTTCTTTAGCATAGACACCTGGAAGTGGCCTGCTGGATTATAAAGTATGAAAACCTTCAGTTTTACTAGTTATTATCAGATTGGTTTCCAAGATGAGGACATGAGTTTATATCCCCACTAGCAGCATATGAGAATAACCCCTGCTCTGTATCTTCATCAGTTACTGATTTTGTCAGACCTTTAAATATTGGCTGATCTGATTGTTTTGAAGTAGGATCTTATTGTTTTAACATGAATTTTCCCATATGGATAATCAATTATCCCAGCACCATTTTTGAATGTCCATAATTTCTTCTTTAGTTGGTAATGTTCTCATGTATCATATTTCTTTACATACTCTCTCTGTTGATGTAATACTCCCTCAACTGTTTTAGCTTTAAAGGAAACATGGGTATCTAATTGGGCATGTCTCTCCACTGAATTATTGCTCTTCAAAATTGTTTTGGCTGTTTTTGGAACTTATATTTTTGATATGAATTTAGGATGAGCTTGTTAGGTTCCATGAATATGAAGAAAAAGCAAAGTCTGCTGGAAATTTGATTGGGATTGAAATACGTTTGTTGATTAATTTGGGGAGTATCAACATCTTTATGCTATTCAGTGAATATCTTGTCTAATTATTGACTTTAATGGGCATGCTTCAATAGTTCACCCTCACTATTTCACCAATATTTTATCCTATACGCCTTTGCTGTAAGATTTTCGTTAACTAAGATCAAGGAAGTTTTTCCTTTTCCTTTTCTTTTTTGTTAAATGTTAATTTCTTTACATTATAATATTTGATATCTACAAAATAATATACATATAAGTTATAGAGTATAATATTAAAACAGATACTTGTGAGTTCACAGCGAACTTAAGAACTACAACTTTACCAATTTGTTGAATACATATGTGGACTCTTCCACATCCTATCCTCTTGACTCCTTTCCCTGCAAAGTTAACCATTTTCTTGAAGTCTGTGTTTGATCATTCTTTACCTTTTTAAAAGTTTTTGTAGAATATATATGTATCCCCAAACAATATTGTTTAGTTAAATAAACTAGTTATTTGGTCTTATATGTATGACATAGATCTGATTTCTTTGGTGACTCACTTCTTTCACTCAACATGTTTCTAAGATTTTTAGTAGTAATTCATTAATTTTTACTGTTGAATAATATGCCATTATGTGGTTATGCCATGATTTATTTATTCATATTTATGTTCATGGACATTTTAATTATTTAGTTTTTTGCCATAATAAGCAATCTGCTAAGAAATCCTTATACATGTCTGTGCCCTGGTATAAGTGTTCCATGCATAAGAATCTTTCTAGGTTAATACCTATTAGGTGAATTTTGTAGTTGGGTATGTGCAAGTTACATTCTGCATGTTATTGCCGTATTGCCTTCCAAAACAGTACCAATTTACACTCCCACCAGCAGGGCATAACATTTATCTTATTCTATATCCTTGCCAACTTTTGTAATTGTCTGATTTCTTAATTTTTTCAATCTAGTTGGTAAAAAATAAAATCTCATTCTTTACTAATCAATTCTTGATGTATATCACTCCATCTTAGATAATTTCTCTCTCTCTCTCTTTTTAGAATTTACTTTTCTGAGGGTCTAACTAGAGCAAGAGTCTTTCTTTTCTTTTTTCTTTTTGTCTGAAGATGCCTTTATTTTGAGCCTACTCTTAGAATGATAGTTTAGGTGGGTTACTTTCTAGGTTACTTTCTTTCAGTACATTAAAAATATTCCATTGTTCTCTGCCTTCCATTGTTTTTGTTGTAAACTAGCTAAAAGTCTAATTTTTTATTCCTTTGGATATAATGTCTTTTCTAACTAGCTAGATCTTCTCTACATTTTTGCTGTTTTGTAGTTTCATTCTTCTGTGTTGAGGTGTGGGTTTCTTTTTATTTAACCTTTTGGAATTCATAGGGCTTCCCAAATATATGAATGCTGTCTTCCATCAGTCTGGAAACATATCTGTAATTTTCTTTTCAAATAATTGCTTTTGCTTCATTTTACTTCTGTAACTCGAACAAGATTTATGTTTGTTTTTCACACTCTTTGCTTATGTCCCTTAACCTCTCTTTTGGAGGTTATATTTTTTTTCCTCTCTGTGTTGTATTTGGATTAATTTTAGATCTCTTTTACAATTCACTAATTCTTTCTTCAGTTCTATCTAATCTGCTCTTTAACCCAACCATTGAGTTTTAAATTTCAATTATTCTATTTTTTACTTCTAGAAGTTCTATTTCGTTCTTTCTAAAATTTTCTAGTCATTTTTTAATGTCTTGCTTTCTATTCCTATTTTTTATTTTTGAAGGCGATTTGTCAAGAACTGTGAAGGCTATGAGATCTTAGGCTATTTGCAAGTTAGCTTGCCAAAGTTAGAGATACTGAAAGAAGACATGAGATTCCTCTGTCTCAGAGACAGAAGAAATAGTAGCCAGAGTGTCAGCATGTTTTTATTGGTTCCTTATGTCACAGTTCCTCCAGGGCCTAGATACCTGCCTGCACAGGAAAGGATCAGTGACTTTGGGAAACTTCCCAGTTTATAGTAGACAGTAAGTAAGCCTGCACTTTCTCCTAATGGGAGATATTACCTTATCCTTTAAGGTTAACAATAGGCTGCAAATACAGGCCTGAAAAATGATCTGGGTAAAGATCAGCCAGGCCTTGATCTTTTGGCACAGAAATCAAGACATACAGAAACAAGAGAGACTCATGGAGAAGTGTTTCTCAACAATATTAAATATAATAGTCTTATATTCTGAGTTGGCAATTCTAATAACTGTGGATCTTGTTTTGCTATTTGTTCTTTCTGTTGCCTTTTGCACATGATGTTTTGTTTCTTTGTGGTTTTATGATTTTTGACTGTGGGTTCATTTTTCTTGAAATGAAGGGAGATTTCTCTGTTGAGAATTTGCATTTACTTCTGGGAGCACTACCAACTGGAAGTGACTTTAAAGTAAATTCTTAGATTGAAGTTTTTCAGACTACTCAGTGTGAATACAGGTTGAAAGCCTGTGGATGGGTGTATTTGTGATAATTAGTTCCGAGGGGAATTGACTCCTCCCTTCCCAACCCACCCCTGCTCCTGTTCAGCACCATATTTTAAGATAAGCAACTTTCCTGGTATTGTTGTGGAGGGCATGTCATTCTTGGTTCATCTTAATGCAGAGGGAATAACATTTTGGGGTCCTAGTTTTATGCAGTGGGGATTCCCTGTAGATTCTCTCGCTTGAGCCAGTCCCCCGTTTTGTCTGTTAGTCCCTGTGTCATTTAAAGTAATAACCTATATTAAAGTAACACTAATGCTGTCTCAAATATAGTCAAAAATTTAAGTGGCTTAACACAATAAAAGTTGATTTCTTAATCACATAATAGTCTAACACTTGAGTTCATTCTTAAAGGAAAAGCATACATTAGCCCAGCAAATGGGATTTCAGAAGAAGAATGAGAGAAAAAATATTCTTGGAAGAGGGAAAACTGTGTAAAGGTATATTAGAGAGAATGTTCTGCAGTTTGGAGCATTTATAGCAGAAAAGGAATGGCAA